GTCGAGTGCACAACTGCGTCTAATCGACAAGCGATTAGCCATATTCATCATCTCGAAATAAACAAACACAGGACCCAAGGAATCCCTGAGAGTGATTCTTCGGCAGGTACACAGAGTAGTTACTCACACACAGTGAACATGAGGATGATAAAAACATCTTGTCTATGGGGGGATGTTGTTTTAAGAATTTGAAGCATTTTGTCCCCGGTACGAAGCTGAAGTAGGCAAGAAGGGCAGAATTTATTGGTACCAAAAAATTTCGCGACAGCTCTTCAGAGATAACGAGTGAGAAGAATACAACAGATTTAATTTCGTGCAGAAAATCAATGCAGAAACAGCAAGCTCAGGGTTTTGGGCAAAGCTGGCTAATCGATAAAGCTAGTAACACAAACACCGTAAAGGAAGAAAGTGAAAAAGGGGGAACGTTAAAGAGCAAAAATGAGACATTAAACTTACTAACTTACTTACATTAAACTTACTAAACTGCAAACACAGGCTCTGTCGTTAGGACTTGATTTCTGTGTTCCTAGCAAAAGGATTAATCCTGGTAAAATTGAAGCGCAATTTGAGGACTTGAATTCTCAATTATCTGAGTTAATACCCAGATCTTGTGACGACGTGGGCTTGTTGAAAGCAAAATTTGTTGATATTTCGCACCAGTACCTCAGAGCTCCAATAACACAACGTTCACCTATAACTAAAGAACACATGACTGCTTTATCCGCTTTAAAGCATCATAAGCAAATAATAATTTCCAAACCTGACAAGGGGCATGGGGTTGTCATTCTAAATCGCAGTGACTACGTGACAAAAATGGAGGCTATTTTACGTGATCAGAGTAAATTCCGTTTAGAAACGTTGGGAAAGGAAGAAACCAAGGCATTGGAGGACTCCGCCTGGAAGACAATTAAAAAGTTGCTAGACAACAATCTGTTAGACTCCAAAACAGCGTTTTGCCTAAAACCTAGGGGTTCATATACTCCAGATTTTATGGATTACCAAAAACGCATAATAGGGATATACCCCTAAGACCAATTTTATCTATTTATAATTCACCTTTTTCACAAACTAGCACATTGGCTAGTCAAGGAATTAGAGCCAATCCGACGACGTTTTTCTACTTACACGCTAAAAGACAGCTTCCACTTCATTGAAGAAATCAAAAATCAAGACATTTTTGGCGAATACATGATATCCCTGGATGCAGAATCCCTTTTCACTAACGTACCACTGGATGAGACAATAGACATAATTTGCACCCATGCATCGGAAACTCGTCTGCCACCGGAAACACTATGAGACGCATTAAAATTGTGTACAAAGAACGTTCAATTTCTCTTTAATGGCCAATTATATAGACAAATTGACGGAGTGGCAATGGGGAGTCCCCTTGGCCCTACCTTTGCTGACATCTTTATGGGTCATCTAGAAGAAAAAGTGTCCGCCAAATTGAATAAGCTGCCACTCTACAAAAGATACGTGGATGATGTTTTCGCTATTATTAAGGACCTTAAGGAGGCTGAAGAACTGCTTTCTATTATGAATAAGCTGCATCCAAAGATCAAATTTACAATGGAGAAGGAACAAGACAACCAACTATCTTTCTGGATGTTCTTATGTTTAGAAAGGAAGATGGTTCTATAAGACGTTCCGTCTTCCATAAGAATACTTGGAAGGGACATTACTTGCATTTTTTGAGTTTTGTACCTATCCAATGGAAACGTAACTTGGTATACCCTCTTTTCCAAAGGCCTAGGAACATTTGCTCCAATGACGCACTGGATGCAGAATTTGCACGCCTCAAAGAAGCTCTACTTAAGCGAGGATATCCCGCACGGTTCATCCACAAATACAGCAACTCTACACGGCCAAAACTGACAGAACATTTAGCTCCGAAAAAGCCAGTCTTTATATCTTTGCCCTTTAAGGGCGACAATATTTTAAATACTATCAAACGACGGCTACGTTCCGCCATTGAAAGGACATACAATGCAGCCGAACTAGTATTATGCAGTCCCACTAAGCCACTTTCGATTCCACGGGCAAAGGATGCGCTGCCAATGCACGCCACTTCAAATTGTTTTTATGAATTCACATGCACTTGCGGATGCCAGTACATTGGGCGAACGCAAAGGCCGTTGGCAGCCAGGTCTATTGAGCACCTACCCAAGTGGCTCCTAAGACAGGAAAATAAGATCCCGCGTTCCACCATTACGAAACACCTACTTGATACTGGTCACTCCGTCGACCTCAAAACTTCCTTCCGAGTACTTGTTCGGGCACGAACAACTCGGACATTGCGTTACCTGGAGGCGGCCTATATACGACGGGTGAAACCAGATCTTTGTAAACAATTGGAACACGTGGTTAACCTAACATTACCACGGTAGCCTCTAGCTCCATGATTCCCCCACTCTCCTCTCATTTTTACTCTTTAACGTCCCCCTTTTTCACTTTCTTCCCCTACGGTGTTTGTGTTACTAGCTTTATCGATTAGCCAACTTTGCCCAAAACCCTGACCTTGCTGTTTCTGCATTGATTTTCTGCACGAATTCAAATCTGTTGTATTCTTCTCACTCGTTATCTCTCTTATGAAGCGACAGGACGCAGCTGAAGAGCTGTCGCGAAATTTTTTGGTACTAATAAATCCTGCCCTTCTTGCCTACTTCATCTTGTCTACCACGTTTCCAGTCACTTCATAGACATAGGTAAGGCTATAACTGTTTGCAATTCGGCAGGAAATACACTTGGGGAGTTCCCCGAGTCCAGGAAACAGCGATACATCAACAGACGCATAAAACATATTATTGCCCCTTGATTACTAGTTTCCGGATAGACTGAATGGACTTTTCAGAGGTTCTAGTCAGTGAGAGAAAATTCATGAGACGCAGATCCGACTTCTGGGAAATGCCTTTCCGCATTAGAGTCAGTTTCGACTCTTTGCCCATCGTACCTTTTTACCTTCCCTTATCTTGAAGTTGTTACCTTACAGGCCCTATCGGCATAACCGTGTTAGTCCAACACCCACTGGTTTCTAGTGCCTCTTTAGGTCCTCCATCTCCAGCGTCCGCAACCGTTGCCGTTGCCTGTGCTGTTGTCTGGTCCATAGAAGTGGATGACAAGAAGACTGAACGGAAGCCGCCGAGAAATGTGATCAAGCCAAAGTGCGTGAAAAAAAGGCGAGATGGAGAGAGGAGACCAGAAGGGGACGCGAAAGAAAGGCAATGCGAAAACGAAAGAATTGCATTTTCTCTTAATTAATCATTGACTCTCGATGTGGGAATGTAACCACGATAATAAAGGCAAAGAGGGAAGTTCTAGATTCCTGTTGAAAAAGAGAAAATAGGTCGATCTCCGGAAACTGGCTTCTGGGCCCGTGGATTGGGTTGTCATCAGATAAAACAAAAGAATAGTAACAAATTAACAGTCGCATGCGTTCTTGCTTGAAAGTGGGGGTGCCCTTATAAGGCAGTAGGAGCGCAGATTAAGTTAATTTCAAAGGCAGACGCTTTGAGAAGCTCTCAACCCGTCTTTCTGTGGGTGAGCATCTTCATCTTTATGCTTGAGAAGTGAAATTCCAGATATACATCCAGGGGAAGTGCAGCGACCGGGAACAGCAAGTTACTTCTCCGCACATTCTCTTAACGCGGATATATTCGTGTTCAGCCACACTGCTGTCTGAATTGTCTAACTATAGGACATTTGTGTACGTAAAAGATTATATCACGCCACTTTATTCACCGGCATTCGGTCTGCATCGGATCCGAGCACCACTTTGGCTTCTCACCGAAGACAATTTAATTGCCAACTTCGACGAAAATGTGTTCCGTCATCTCAGCGCTATTTCGTATATAAAACAGGGAGTTCCGAATGTCTGACGGATCTCCGCTTTTGTCCCCGGGGGGAGAGGTGTACGGAGGACGCCATATATGAAGCTTCTAAGTTGATTCCTATAAACGGAACGCCTGTGCACCGGAGTTCCTGTGGGCGTTATTTCCGGTCTTTGCGGTGCCTTCTGCACCTCCGGAAAGGTCTTCACTCGCACATCCGCATCGCTGGATTATTATGTTATCTCACGAGCTGTGTTCTGTTAGACGTCCTCCTGGACAATGAGGCGCCGTTCCCACAAAGTACTCTTCGTGTAACAACATATCGGTAAGTCAAAAATAAAAATGAGGCAGGAATTGGCCGTGCGGATAAGTCGGATGACGAGGAAA